TTTCATCAATATCTTTATTATGTAAACAAGTCACATAAGAAAACACACTAAGAATTTAATAAGGTAAAGAACATAAGACACAAGATAATCTGCCTGGCCAGGCGTGGCTCAGCAGTTGAGCATCGACCTAGGATCCAGGCGATCGGGGTTCGATTCCCGGTCAGGGCACATGCCTGGGTTGTGGGCTGCAGCCGATCAATGACTTTCTCATCATTGATGTTTCTATCTCTCTCTCTCCCTCTCCTTTCCTTTCTCTGAAATCAATAAAGATATATTTTAAAAAAATAATAAGAATGTCCAATTCTGACAATCAGTGTGGCGAAAGGGCAAAATAGTACATTTTAAAAAATGCATCAGATGTTCATACCTTTTAGCTCAGTAATTCCACTCCTTGATGTCTTCCCCAAAGGAATAATCCTAAACATCTAAAAAAGCTATAGGTACAAGATGTTCATTGCAGCATTATTTATAATATTGAAAAAAAAAATTGAAAGCAACCTAAATACCTTGAAGCATAGGGATGTTAAGTGCATTAATACACAGCTATCTGGAATATTTTGTTGCATTTTAAATGATGTTTAGGCTCATCAGTAATTATATGGGGACATGTTATTATATAATGAATGTCAAGTGAAAAGAACAAGATACAACACTACATACATTGTAAGCCTACCACTGTATATGGAAAAAATTCTATAAAGACATGAGGATTTGAAAAATCTATTGTCAGTGTTTTCCAAATTTTATTTAACATGCAGTTTAATGTTTTCAAATACATTGAAACTGTTATATTTTTACTTAAAGCACTTGCAAATGCATTGCATTGTTTTCAAAACATTACTATCTAAACCAAAGAATTTATATGCATATATGCACAACCCAAGGACGTGGATAATGGTGGGGAGAGGGACTGGGGAGGGGGATGGGATGGGGTGGAACGGGTCATTGGGGAGAAAAAGAGACGTCTGTAATATTTTAAACAAAAATAAAATTAAAAAACCCCACAAAAACAACCCACCAAAAAAACATTACTATCTAAAGCAAAACCCTGTGCTTGGAAAGACATGTGAAATATCATACCTATTATAAAAATCTCAAATTATTTTATCTATTATCATTTTGGTTATAAGTGTAGGGAATCTTCTACATATGTGACTTAGGCAGCTGAAATATGTAGGCTGAAGCAGCTCTAGTCAGGGTTTTTCTCAACATCCACACTCTTTCTGCCTCCAGCTCCTTTGAGAAATCATGGCTGCTCCTAGCACCTGTGAGTATACTGCTCTTATAAACCTGCAGCAGTAGAGGAAATGTTATGATTGTTTCTAATATTTGGGGGATAACCAAAACCAATTTCTTTTTTCATCAAACTGGAGCATAAAAAATGTGCCATTCATTGAAATATATTTATTGTTTCCAACAGAGTACAAATTCTTAAGAGGACAGAGATGGGGTTTATTTTTATGATGCATACATTGCCTAGATTACTGCTATATTTCATAAATAATATCCTTCCCAACATCTACCCTAAGACAAAGGTGAACCAAGGTTTTATTGTTTTAGAAAGAAATACCATGTCTCCTCCCCTTTTCTCAGCCCAATTCGGTCCTTGCAATTGTGGTCACTCCTTTGACACTTTAATACAATATCGACCAATTTCCTAAAATCCTAGTGAGAGACTAACGGAGAGGAAAAGGAGAGGGAGTGGGAGGGAGAGGGAGTGGGAAAGGGAGAGGGAGAGAGGAGGGGGAAGAAAGAAAGAGAGAGAGAGAGAGAGAGAGAGAGAGAGAGAGAGAGAGAGAGAGAGAGAAAAGAGGAGAGGAGTAACTGAGAGACTGAGAAACACTTCAGGAGGTTGCACTTACACTCCAGCAGCTTTTCCAGAAATCAGGGAAGTAGTAGTCCTTATTTTTGTGGTGTCAAGTTGTAGACTGAAATTCGGCAAAAATCTTTCTTGACGTGAGGGATGCGAAATACATTGTAGGATATGTATTCCGTGTGATCCTTTGTTCTAGAGCTTTTCTTTTTTTTCTAAAGTTTTTCGGTGTCACTCAAAGAAAGGGAACATTAATACTACTTTGAAATTCCCTTAAAGGCGCCTTTCAAAGCATCTCCCAATGGAAAATATCACGACAGCTCAACACTGGTGTTTCTCAGTAAGACTCGAGTCCAAATTCCCC